TTTTTTCTAGTTTTTTAGTTTTATTACATATGAAGTACGTATAACGTTTTATATGTATATGTATGAAGTTAGTAGTACACGTATAAAGTTTTTATAATAATTATTGATGAAATTTTTTTAATTTTTTTCATGGTCAACACATAAAATATAATAATGTAATGTAATTTGTAATTGAAACTTATATCTTTTAATTCTTGCGCTTTTATATTTCAAGTCCGATGGGATCTATGAAGCTGCATATGTGTATAAATGATATATTGGAACTGAAAGAAGCGAGAAAATTATTGATTATAATGACCCGAGTCAACAAACGATTGCATCTTATCGCGGGAAAATTCTTTCCCATGACAATGACTATGTTTTGCAATGTAAGATAATTATAATTTATTGAAATAATCTGATATGAATATTTAATGAATATAAACCAAATGGACAAATAGAAACAATTATGATTTCATATTTTAAAATACAAACACATAAATATACGCGGGCAAACATATATATACATTATTTATTATTATATTGTTATATTGTCATATTTTTTTATTATATTGTTTAATTATTTTTAAAATTTACAAAAAAACATAAATTTTTTCTACTTTTAATATTAATAAACTTATCTAATCACTTAAAATTCTAAAAATATTCGCTTGAAATAGAAAAATGCATATCTTTATTGTCTTAAAAATTATTGTTTCATAAAAAATTTACATATTTATTATATATACAAAATAAAATTGTTAAAGAAATACATATAATTTTAGTTATTAAAAATCAAGCGGTATGTATCAGTTTTGTTGACACAACAAAGTCGTGAATACCAAGATATAAATCGACATCCAAGGTTTACTAATGTAAACCTTCGTAATATAATTACAATATACTATGTTAAACTTAATTTTAAAATAATAGTAAATTATAATAAATAGTATTATTAATTGTTAAATATATATTTTTTATTCATACAAATTTAATATTTTACTTACTACTTACTAAAAAAAGACAAATTTAAAAAAATTGCAATATATATGTATATAGCTACATTGTGCTATATCGAAATAATATGGTGTAGGAACTTTTAAGAATTAGTGTAAATTATTGATATGTCCATCAGTATATGGCATAGCTATAATCAAATGTATAATTATTTCACATTTTACATTTTGTTTCCAAGTCACTTTAATGAAGCAAAGGGAAATAAAAATTGTTTAGAAAATTTTAAACTTCAGTTGAAAAAACTTTTAAATAATTTATATTGCTAGTGGTAGTTTCAGAAGAGAGTAATCAATCAATAATGCGGCACAACAGGATCGGTTTTAGGAATTTTTGAATTGTTACGTAATAGAAAAATGAAACAAGAATTATATTTCTTCACGAAAACATATTCTATACTACGGAATAAAAATTAAAATCGTCGAATAATATTAAAAAAGAATAACAATTTCTTACATTTTCTAATTTTTGTTTCTTAATAATTTAAATACTTTTTCAGTAAATAAACTTACAGTAGAAATAAGTAGACGCGAAATGATTCCATTGTGTACATGTATATGTGTGTAAATTTAATTTATTCAATTATGTACATATAAAGATAAAATAGTTTTGGAAGCAAATGCGGTCCTGCATCAACATCATATAATTTTTTATTCACTTTCGAACTAAGCAGTCTCAACTTGGAAATGAAACCAGTTAGTAAACGTCACGCACTGTATGTTCGTTATGGGTATTGCATTATTAATATGTGACACGCACACCTGTATAATAGTATTAAACCTGGCAAATTGTCTTGTTACACGTAACAATTTACCCCTCTAAGTAGCATGAACAAAGGGAAACTTAATCCTTTCGCAGACCTCGGTATGGATGTTTCAAAGTATTCAGCATATACAGGTTTTCATGTCTTCGTTGATAAATTTAGATACAAAATAGTGTTTTCAAATGTACGATGAATAGCGAATTATATTTTAAATTGTCTATAGAACAGAACTATTGCAAAAAATAAAATCGTAATTAAAATCGTATCGTAAATTAAAAGAATCGTATCGTAAAGATAATCATTATATCCATAAATGATCGCCATTTAAAAAGTTGCTGTATTTGTTACATATAACAATTAAATATTATTTCTGATGAATAACATAATGTGATAGACTTCTCTATTGCATATATCTAAATATAGATTATGAATGGGCCATTGGATTAAATCGAATTAGTTTGAAGTTTTTTGGCATATGGCCAGAAAACAATGAAACTAAACGAGAAAAATTTATGTCTAATTTACGTATAATTTTTGTATTGAAAATTGCAATCTGTGGTTGTCTTATTCCGACTATACATTCTTTATTCAAAATTTGGGGTGATCTAATGTCTATGATTGATAATCTACAATATACTTTACCATTCTCGATGGCAATAATAAAACTTTTTATTATGTGGTTGAATAAAAAAGGTAATGCATATGTACATATTTTTGCAAATTATATTTGGTAGTATAACAGCTTTTGACATATATAGTAGTAAAGTATGTCAATGTGCTATTTTGAACAAATATCTTATTTTAAACGTAATTATAAAATAATATTTTTTACTAATTATAGATATTTTGCCGCTTTTAAACATGATAAAAAACGATTGGTTGAAATCAAAAACAGCAAATGAAAGAGATGTTATGATAAAACAAGCCCGAATTGCACGTATATTTACAATATTAGGATTTTTTATAATGTTGTTGAGTCTTATTTTGGCTGTGATTCTTCCTGCTTTCGGCATTTCAATGAGATATTTGACCAACAAAACGGATCCAGGGAAATTATTGCCAATTCAAACATATTATATTTATGATCGAGACAAAAGTCCATTGTACGAGATAACTTATATTGTGCAAAGTATCGGCTTATCGACGCTTGCTATGGTGTACACTAGTACAGACAGTTTCTTAGGTTTATTGGTTTTTCATGTGTGTGGTCAATTGGAAAATCTCAAGAAGCGTATTATTTGTCTCAATAAGTTTCATTTTGAAAGTGCTCTATCATGCAGCGTACAAGATCATATACGTCTCATCAGGTTATATAGTATACAATATATAATTAAGTAAAATATTTTTTTTTAATAACATAAAGTAATTTTTTTTGTCCGTTTTAATTTTTAGCTAAAGTGAAAAATTGTGAAATATTCTAATACATAATAATAAATTATGTATTAGAATATACAACTTAACAATAAATAAACAAATTAATAATAAATTATCAAACTTTTTTGTTAAAGTTTGAAACTTCTTAGTATTAATTTATGGTAATTTATGTGTTTAAAGCAGATCGTTTATACATATTCTTTATACATATCTTCTTTATACATATTCTTTAAAATAAAATAATACAAAAGATTTTTTCTTAATGTGATTATTATTTATACTTATGATTACATTTATGATTATTATATACAAATAATAAAAAATAGTGATTTTTTTTATAATTTTCCTTTGCAGATCTATTAATATGATCGACAATATATTTACGCTAATGTTACTAAGCGCACTTTTATACTTTGGTATACTATTCGCTTTTTACGGATTCTTACTAGGTACTGTAAGTATTATTCTATAAGTTTCTTTTTTAAAGACAAATGTATGTAATATTTCAAATATAATATCTTATGTATTATATTTTTTAATATTTGATAAGTTATTACATACATATACATATACACAGAACAAACAAACATACACATCTAAGTGTTGCATACATTCTGAATAATAATATAAAAAGTTTTATATCTTTATAAACTTCTAATTGTGCTAATATTATTTATTTCGTACTAATATACTATATACGTAATTGTATAATCACTTTGCAAATAAGAGGTAAAATAAGAAGTTTATAATATATAACAAAATGCAACGTAATTTTATATACATTTTATATGCATGTCTGATTCATAATAATATATCGCTTATGTACAGATAAAACGGATCAAATTGAATAGGAAAGTCCTGTATCATTTTGTGATTTTTGCAATTATGCAGTAACAAGTTATTAATTATTAAAAATCATCGAAGTGCCCGGCTTACTGGCAAACATACAACGAAATGTGACCGCCTAATGTTACGCGCGTTTGTAATTGTTAGGAGCGTGGCGAGATATTTAAACGTCGAATTCTACAAATGACAGAACATCTACTTATAGCGCTCACTTACAAACATTTCGCAATCTTAGCAATCACGAACGCGCGTAACGTTAGGCAGTCACATATCGCTGTGTGTTTGGCGATGGGCCGAGCGAATATGTACTTATTTGATGATTTTTTTAATATAATAATTTGTTACTAATTGTAAAAATCGCAAAATGGTAGAGAATTTTTCTGCTCAGTTTAACTCTCTACTTGGACACAAATAGTATAGGAATACCATTAGGAACACCATGTCAAACACTTTGTATATACACTTTGTGATATCCAGTAATAACTTTGATATTATGGATAAGCGCATTATATTGAATCGAAATCCTGTATTATAAATCCTGCGTTATTTTACAATTTTCTCATTAATTAAAAAGTTATTAATTTATACAGATTCGCGAATGAGCGAACATTTACACGAAACAGCTCGCTGTATACTTGTTATTTACCAGTGAGCTATACAAATACGCGTATATTTGGCTAATATAATTATTTTTAATAATTAATAACTCATTACTATTTGCGAAAATTATAAAAAATAATAAAGAATTTTTCTATTCAATTGATTTTGCTTTGCTTGCATACAAGCGATGTATTAGGAATTAGACACTATATGTATATATATATATATATAATTAAATATATTATATTTGTGTACACACACACACACACACACACACACACACACACACACACACACACACACACACACAGAGAGAGAGAGAGAGAGAGAGAGAGAGAGAGAGAGAGAGAGAGAGAGAGAGA